ACTGCACTTTGCCCTTGATGTTTGGTTTATCCTTACATGGGTGTTTTTTTGCCCTTAGGCCGCTTGCCAGTGTAGTGCAAAGGCTGCAGCCTACAGCCTCTTACATTTGCCATACCTTAACCTGTGCTATCCTACCTGCTCTCCTTATTACAGCTCCCTCAATCATCCCTTCTCGGTACACATGCAAACCCACCTGACGTGCCAAGCAGCTGCTACCCACCCACTGCTACCCAGTAATTGCATTTCTGGGCATGTGTACGTAATACCTCATGAAGCACTTTGTGACTTTTTTCTTTGGATTTCAAAAAACTATATAGGCATAAAATATTGTCATCTGGAACTCAGTATATAGGATGTGGAAGCAGTTTTTTAGGTTTTTCAGAACTTCTCCATTCTTATATGTGCAGCCAAACTGACCATATTATTCTAGTGGAAGCTTCTACAAGGGCCATATGAAATTTTGTGTTTAATGTGCTTTGCATGTAAACCTAATTAAGCCTTTTCTTACTATCTCAGTTAAAACAGTAATAGCCAGGAACAGCCTTTCAAAGCAAGTGTTTAAAGAAATTACAAATGGGACCTAGGATTTTCAGTAATAATTTATCATCACGGATATTCACATCAGGTAACAAAATATTTCCTTACCTCTAGAGCAGAAAAGAAAGGTAATCTTCCGTAAAAAAGAGACAAGACAGATGAAGGACTCTGAACTTGGGCAGTCTTCCGGAGGAAGCTGATGTTCACATCCTGACAGTGATCTGATAGGAGCACAAATCAGCTACCAGATCAGTGGTGCTGAGCTGATTCATAGTTATCTGAAATGCCTAAAGGTCCAGGCTCTGCTGCTTTGTTTTCACACTGCTCACACTCCAATATATCTCATCGTAAGAGTGATTCTCTCATGGTCCATCTGAGTAGTACTTTTACTTAAATAGTCTTCCTTCTATAACCTTAAATATTTCAATTTTCCTTAGTGCTTATCCTGCAAATAGAAGTAGCTTTTTATTGTGTTCTAGTCATCTCTCAGCCCCGCTATGCCCATTTACCTCTTTCCTTCATCCACAGAAGCCTGTCCCTCAAGCACATCAGGCATTTCTCTGCTTTACAGAAGTCTCTGAAATTGTCCATACATGTACTCTGATGAGGTCCCTGGGACAGATTATCCAATTCCTAGTGCAGCCTTCCTGAAAAAATAGAAGTACACAAAACACTTTTTCCTTGTTTCCATAAAAATGTCTCTCCACAACAGCACAGAATTTGGTATTGGCTTGGTTTTCCCCAGACATGGTACCCTCCAAACTTATGTTCAGGTTTTTTTCCACAGATGCTTTTTGTTCTCTTTCAGTTTCAGCGCTGCCTGCATTTTACACTCATTCAGTATTCGGCTACGTCCTTGATTTGCTATGGAAATCATGATTAATGTCTCTGAGATCTGTGAAGTGATATCAGCAAAAAAATAGTGCAAGTGAGAGAAGAATCAGAGCCTCAGTGGTTCAGTCCTCTGTCTTTTTTCTGCTTATGCTTCTGCTGGTTTACTCTATGTATAGTTATTGACACTAGCAAGAACTCCAGTTTACTCTCTTCAGACTTCATTAATCTACAGATTTTTTTGCACTTGTATAACACTAACTTTTATGTAACAAACCCAACTTTTATGTTGCCTATACACTAAGAAGGCAAAGGTAATGTTTTTTGCAACACATTGCTTGACCTTCCGTGGTTTGGGGTTCTTTTTCTAAACATTTCTTTTTGTGCCTACTTTAGCTCTCATTAACTCTACATTTGACATTTTTAATATAAATGTATTTTCTTACTTTGATCTTTGATCTGTAGCTAATCTTGTAGAAAACCACAGTGACCACATTTGTTCCTTACTTTCTTCTTGAAATTGAGCACAGCTAAGTTTGAGTTATCCTGAGGGGTTTTAGGATTATTCAGCATTGTCGGCTCTTTTTCTGCTCAGTTGTTAATGTTAGGTTTTGACTATCTATTCTCCGACCACAAAGGTTTTAGATCAGTCCTTTATTTTTTTCAGTGATCAAATTTGTTGTTTTCTCTCATTCACTTTCAATCATACTCCCAGAAGGCTATACTTCTCTCCACGTTGCTGTGGTTTTGGTGGTGGTGGTGTTTGTTTGGAAGGTGTGAAGTTTTTTTTAACTGGGGTGAGTAGAAAGTTTGCTCTCTGTTCTCTTAAACGTGTTATTATTTGGAATTTTTTTATGGGCAGGATGCAGCATTCTGGGAGTTCTGCTGGGAAGGCTTTGAAAAATATATACAAATCAAATAAGTTAACTTGCAGAGAGGCATTGATTGAATGAATTTGTGGTTATTCTACTGGTTTAGGGCAGGAAGAGCCAGTTAGTAATTCCTCCATTTAGGAAGCTAAGTAGCTAAGATGTCCCTGCATTGTCTGTTTTGTGTGCATTTGTTCTGAATGCCCATATGAGGGCTGATCGTTTTAAGCCTCAGTTAACAGGGTTTTAAAATTTGACAGAAGATCCCCAACTAGTTCCAGAAGAAAATGCATTTTGCTGTTTTTCTGAAAAACCTGCCTGTATTTGGTACAAACACAGACCTCCAAAATCGTAGTTTTCCTTTGTCTGTTGGAGCTTGGTGGTTAAAATCGCAGAAGATGCCTTCTGCAGAAACTCTGCCCATTGCTGTTCTGCATGGGCCCTGTCATGTGGACCACTGAACAGCTCCTGTGGCACGTTGCAAAGCCCTGGGCTGAGAAGCTCTTCCTCTGCAGCAGTCTTGCCCTAAGAAATTAAAACACTGGGCACCAGAACAGGGAGCAGAGCTATTCCGTGCTGTCCATGGTCGCTTACCTGGGAAATAAGGGAAAGCAGAAGGCAGCCTATGAAAAGGTGGATCACAGTGGAGTTAAAGAATGTGGGAAATGAAAGGAAATTAATATGCCTAAGAATTTATGGGAATTTTTTGCGTATGCATATATACACCCATACATATAAATATATCCATGTGTTTTGTATACATATGAAGAGGCATGGGACAGGACTGGATAGAAGCAGTGGGAGATGGAGAAGGCCAGAGTCCACCCAAGACTTAATCATGCAAGTAAAATTGAGGAAGGGTCAGTCCATCTCTTCAGGAACATGACAACTATGGCATCTCACCAAATGCAGACTTTGCATAAGGTTTTCTGACACAACCATTCTTTACTTTCAGGTGCTTATTAACAGAGCTGTGCACATTTACACTAGTTAGCAGATGTACCTACATTTATCTTCCCCCACCACTCTGCGGCACCCTTTCAGAGCCCTACAAACTACAGCTTTTCCTCAGAATCAGCTGGCTTTTTCTTCCTGCCTAGATCAGTTTGCTGCCTCTGACACTGATGAGTCCCTCCAAATAAGAGAGAAATCTCCCCTGAAAGAAATCCAATCAGTTCCTCTCTCTCATTTACTCTAGTGACTCCACAGTCTCTCCTGCTTCTTTCTCCTCTGACTCTATGTTTCAATCTTATCATTATTGTGTGTCTCTCCTTTTGGGGAGTCTTCCATTTTCATGTTCCAGTGGACAGTAAAACCATCCATCACTTTTCTTAATAACAATGCCATTTACCAAAATCTTCAGTCTCTCCGTGAATAGGCATATCTAGTCCACTGACACCCAGACAGGCAGTGGCTGGTCATTGAAAATTTACTTTACAATTGATGTAGTCTTTAAGCGTCAGTGTTTTGGAAATGATATAAAAATGAATCACTTTCTTTTGTCTAGCATATTCAATACATATTGGTAATTTCAATTTAAAAGGTGCTGAACCTGTTTTTCTTTAGAATGAGCGTTGCTCAAATAACAGCAGTTTCACCTGCCTCATTTCTAGCACTGAGGAGAATGCTCCACCATCTACTGTATTACAGATTCTTGTGGATTTTCTCCAGCAGCCACTTATGACAACTGCAAGTTTGTTTTACCCTGGGGATATATGTGTACGTGGCCAGTTGCTTCAGGTCATATTCCTTCCAAATGGAAGTCAGCTTGACAGCTGTTAATTTGCACTTGGCCATTCCATGTGTTGTTTTGCTCTAATTATTGGTCACTGTATGGAACAGGTGACAAATGCCCACATGAGAACCCTTTAAATCACTAGATGTACAATCATTAGGAAAACAGACAGACAGGGTCATTAAATACTAGGTTTTTTTCCAGCCCCAAACAGAAACAGATTTTAGCCAGTTTTGACATCTATTTGAAAGGGACAGAAAGAGGTGACAATACCTTACTGTTTATGAAACTAGC